GCACCTGAAAAATGTATGGTAAATACCCCAATGGTAATTGATACTTCATGGTATCACTCTAGGTAAATAATAAATAATATTACGTAAATAATAAAAGTAAAAAATATATATACCTACCTATTATACTTTAGTGACATGGATGTATCAGCGCACAGTTTATCGGTAGAAACCGAAATTAGTAGTCCGAATGATTTAAAAGTGTAAGTTGTTACTTGTTGCTACTTATTATTTATTATATAAATAAATGTTTTTAATAAAATAATCCAAAACATAATTTTATTGTGAGAGCTATTTTATTATTTTAATATTTTATTGTTACATTACATATATTACGTCATATACAACAAAAATTAATATTGCAGGCCTCTTATTGGACGTCGAATAGTTGACATTTCTTTTTTTATCAAACAAATTCAAGTTCAGCATAATGCAGAGTTAAGTTGTTCTTTTATTGATATGGACTTTCAGTCAGAAATAATTCGTGGATTCCAGTCAATATTACGTTTTAAGTGTAGAGTCTGTGGTATAAAGACTCAACTATACTCTGAAAAAGAAACTGAAAACGTTATACCTATCAATAAAGCCGTTGTAAATGCTTGTCAAGCTATAGGTAAATACGTATACAGTGATTTTACTACATTAAATAATAAACATAATAGTAATAATTTATATTTTCTACAAATTTTTCATGATTATTATAATACCTAGTTTATCATGACTGCAGGTATTGGACATACACAACTGACGGAGTTTATAGCTTTTCTTGATATGCCTTCCCTCTCGTGTGATAAATATATTAAAATTCAAAATACTATAGCTGAATTAATTCATGAGTCGGCATGGGAGGAAATGAAAAAATCTGGTGAAGAAGAGAAACGTATAGCAATTGAATGTGGTGATATCGATTCTGACAGAATACCGATGTGCACGGTCGTTGCCGATGGCCAATGGTCCAAACGAAGTTATGGAAAAAAATATGATGCATTATCGGGTGTTGTAAGAATAATGATTAAATGTGATTTTGTGATAAAATAAATATATTAATTTTTACCTATATTATAGGCTAGTATAATTGGATATAAGACTAGAAAAGTATTGTTCGTTGGAATACGAAACAAATACTGTGTCGTTTGTCAAAAATCAACAACCAATAATAATAATAATAATTCTAAGCCGGACCATGATTGTTTCATGAATTGGAATAAAGCTTCAACTAGCATGGAGGCTGATGGAGTGGTCGAAGGTTTTGTTAATAGTATACAAATGCATGGACTCAAGTTTAATTGTTTAATTGGTAAGACAAATAGAAATTTAATATTTTAAAATAATAATCAACATAATATATTATAATATCTAATATATACGTTTCCCTATGTATTTTTTTAGGAGATGGAGACAGTAGCGTCATTAAACGATTAAATTACAGAATGCCTTATGGGCCGAACTTTCATATTCGGAAAATTGAGTGTCGTAATCATCTCTTGAGGAACTATGCCACAAAACTTACTGTGTTGGCCAAGAACACAAAATATCCTCTTCGAATTAGAAAATATATTTTAGCAAACATCCTGCGATTTCGCAGCGATGTTACAAAAGCTGTCAAACATTGGAGAAAAGCGATCGATATAACAAAGTTGGACAAAATAAAAGGTAAAGTTAATTTAATATGTAAAAATATAGAATATTCAATATGTAATGTAAATGGTTACATTATATAGATACATAATTTTCTCACCTTAGGTATACGAAAGGACTTATCAAATGCTCCGTTCCATCGCTTAGGTCAACATACTCAATGTAATTCTTATTTTTGTAATAAAAACAATGAAAACAATTTAAACTTGGTACCAGAAGCAAGCCATGGAGGCATTATGCAAGAGATGGAAAATTGTGTACAACGATTAGTTAATCATTCAGACAGTTTGTTGGAAAATAAGGACAACAACGTATGTGAACAATTTAATTCCATAATTAATAAGCATATTGCCGGAAAAAGAATAAACTTTTCTGGGAGAAAAAGTTATTCTACAAGAGTTGAAGCTGCAGTCATATCATTCAACTCCAAGGAGTACATCAGACAAGTTCATAAAAAAATGACTAATAACTTTAGTCCAGGTGCCTAACTACCATTTTTCTTATATTATTTTTAAGTTATAGGAACTAACAAATTTTGTTTTGACGTAATTTATAGGAAGATACGGACAGAAGTATTTGAAAAATTACAACAGAATAAGAGGAAATACAGCAAGAAGGCGGCAATTATTTCCCAATAATCGTAATGGTAAAAAACCTTGTTCCAATGGCCCTGATGCTGATTATGGTATGACTATACTTATTGTTTTAATTTGTTTTAAATATTATACCTATTAAATTTATATAATATTAAATTTAATAAATATTATAATATTTGTTATTAGTAATGACTATTATTATTATGAATAGAAACCTATTATTCGTATTTTTAAAATAAAATATTATATTTTATGAAATTGTAAATAAATGTAGGTATGGCGGAGCCTTTATTAGACGTTTTGTCAAGAAATGATTTGGAGGAAAAAAAAAAAGTTTTTAGATATATTAAAAAAAACTAATATGATTGAAATAGAAATATCTACAAGAGATCAAAATGAGTGTCAAAAGTGGTTTCAAGAGCGGAAATTACGTTTGACAGCATCAAATTTTGGCCAAATTTGCAAAATGAGGAAAACCACAAGTTGCAAAAATACGGTATACTCTATGTTGTATGCTCCTGCACCTCACGCAAAATCTTTGCAGTATGGACGGGTGACAGAAATCGTTGCTCGTAAAAAAGCAGAAGAAATTATTGGGGAAACTGTGCAGATGTCTGGCTTAATAATAGATCCTGAAATTCCTTACTTAGCAGCTAGTCCAGGTATTAAAATTGTATATTTGTATACAACTATATTTATAACGATAAATTGTATTTTAATCATATAATAATTTTTTCTAAGATGGTTTGATTGGAGATTCTAGTATATTAGAGATAAAATGTCCATTTTCTGCCAAAGACACCAGCAGTGCTGTTGATGCCGTTAACAATAAACTAGTATGTTAAATTATTATTATTATTTATATAGGCATCTGGTACCTACTACCTACCTATATTATTTAACTTACTACATTTGACATTTTTATATAAACCATTTCAGTTGCAATGCTGCGTAGTTGTAGGCGATTCTATACAATTGAAAAAAAATCATTCTTATTACTATCAGGTGATAGGTCAGTTACATGTATCTCGTAGAAAAACATGTTATTTTATCATTTATGCAGCTAATTGGATCAATGTTGAAAAAATAATGTATGATCCAACATTTTGGGATTTAAAAATGATCAATTATTTAACAACGTAATATAGTTATAATGCTTATGTCATATTAGCTCAACAAAACAAATTAATTATAATATATCGTATCTAATCAACGTTTTTGTTTTAGATTCTATTTGGAAGTCTTGTTGCCAGAAATAGTTGATCCACTATACCCCAAAAGGATGCTCAAAACCGATATAAGAGAATATAAGACTGGCGACTAAATAATAAATAAACATTTCGATAATATTTTACACGTCTTATATTTTAATTTTATTCCACTTATAATGGTTTTACCTATGTCCGATGATTATTATTATTGATTTATAATTTATTATTAGAAATATTGTTTTATTATATTATAATATTACAATCGCAGTAGCGTACATGGCTATTATAATAATAGGAAGTAGGTACTTGAAAAAAATTAACTATAGTTAAAAGTATGTTTTAGGTGTATATTACGATCGCCTATACTGAGTAAATAATTGTTTATAGGTAGGTTTATTGTGTGTGACAACGTTTGTTATGTATACAAAAAGATTCAACGTTTACATGAAAATTATTATTAATTTATGTGATTGTAATTTAATTACTGTTTCAAACATATTATCATTTATCTCAGTAAGTAATTACGCGATAATTAAAAACTAAGTTGTTAGGTAAAATAATCAGCGTTGTGAAAACGTTCATAAATATATTTAGATAAACAGGAACTTTTATTGATAGTTAGTTAGTAAGTGCGCGCCATCATATTAGATGTAGTACAATAATCGTGAAATGAATACGATGACGGCTGCTGCATTTACGAGTGATGTTCGACAATCAACATACGGTGAAACAATAAAACGCGGCTCCTGTATGGAAATTCATCGGACCTGTTGTGCCAGAATTGTGAATATGTGCCGATCGCGCGCGGTACAGGGCGTGGCTAAACGCGTGCCTGCGCCGCGCGAAAACACCTAACAGCGCATTCTCTCGAACGTTATACGGTTTCGTTTGCCCGGGTAGCGTCCTCTTAAGTCTTAAAGATTAAAGTGAAACACTATTTCAGATTTCTAGAGTAAATAACAAAAATAATCCAGAACTCAGAAGCTTAACATACAATTGTAAAAAAAATTAAAATAGGTATAAAATATCTACATCTAACAATCAAAAAAAAAATTTGCACTTATGCATTGAAACAAAAATAATAAATACTAAATACTAGTAAATGGTAAGTACTAGAATTTTACCTCTACTCCTGCAGTGTGTGTGTGTGGACTACAATATTTGTTTTAATACGCTATTGATATATTTGATTGTCAACAATTATCAGAATTATCAATTTTTCGATAACAGAATTTTTTTTCGTGGTATAAATAATTTAATTATGTATAATATTATAATTTATTTTCTTTTTCATTTGATTTTGTTATAAAATATTTTTCAGTTTTTGGGATTTTTTGTTATCGTTTTCCAGTTGTTTTCTGTTTTTGTTTTATTAATTGTTTTTGTGTTTTGTTTTTTTTTTCGTTTTCGTTTTATTAATTGTTTTCATTTTTTTGTTTTTGTTTCTGTTTAATAACGTTTTTTAAAAACCATCCCTGTTATAATTATACACAGTTATAATATTCATACAAAAACTGCTTAATATTAAATTAATAACAAATGATTACAGAAATTCTCTCTAAGCTTTGTCGAAGGGCTCCAGCCAAGGCTCCCAATAACCGGCAAAACGACGAGGATCCGCTTCGGGATCAATTAACGGATCAGGTGATTGCATCGTCATTTCATTTTTGAACTGCTCCAGCATGTGGATCGTCGCGTCCAGCGTTTGGGGGTTCTGTTTGGCCACATTTCGATACTCACATGGGTCTTGGAGGATATCGAAGAGACAGTACCCGTCAAAACATTCATACTGTTGGTCGGGATTTGGGTTGGATACACGCTCTGGGCAAGTTTGGCCGTCTACTTTAGCCAGAGAACGGGCAACGTAAAACACGTCTCGAGCTGTTGACGCGTTCATGCAACCGTCTTGGGTCAAACAATTGATTTCTGATAGACGTTTACTGATGACACTTGCCACCACACCGGACATATTATATTTCGGTCCTGCGTTACCAGGATCCCCGGCGTACTTGAGGTTGAAGACCATGTTACTTGTACGGTTACCTGAAAAAAAAGTGATCAGCGAGTTGTTAATAATGAAATTAAGGTAACCGTTGTAAAATATAATCACAGGCCTTCGGTCCGTGGGCTATGGGTATAACTGTGCAAGTTAGAAGCGAGATAGAAGTTGAGTTTAGTGGTTAAAAGTGCATAAAATTTACATAGGAATACATACATAGAAAGACATTTTAGTCACATAGCACTTCACATCGATACAAACATTTTAGTAACTTAAAAATTAAAAGTTGAAAATAATAGCAATATTATTTTTAGAATATCTTTCTACGGTTCAGTGTAATAGAAAAGTACAAATTCATCAAATATGGGATATTATAAATAAAAATCTTTGTGGTTTTGTAGTTATAGGCTATAGCTTTAACACTTTAACAGAAGGTACATATCGTTACATATCAACTAGATTTAGTATAAAAAAATGTTACTTTTCACAACTTTCCATTGGTTGAAAATTAAGGCTTCCTCTCCTCTTGTCTCATCTATATTGATTAAAACCTTTGATCTTACTTGTTTTGATGTATCAGTTAAGCTTTTCCACTGATCGACACCATCAATTTTACCTAAGTCTTCAAAATTCCCACCTAAAAAAATAAATAATTTGTTAATAAAAATTGGAGCTTTTTTAGCGGGATAACACTAAAAAGTAGATTAAATAAAAAAAAGTTTTGGAGACAGGCACTTCACAAAAGGGGTCAGGTTCCCTAAGAAGAGTTAGTGGCTCTGAACTGGCACCATTAATTTTATTTTTAAATATTTTAAATATTATGGGGTTTAATTGTCCTGAATCCCGGATGTATATTATAGGTACTTTGTTTAAATAACAATTGTATCTTCAGGATAATTTGAGATAACACAATGACACGTCTAATAGTAGATTGAAAACTGGAAAAACTATTGGAAACACCCTCACGTTCAATATAGCAAAAACTGTTTTGCAAGGGATAGAACTACTCTAGTGATAGTTAAGACTCGAAATTGATATACAATATAGTTGAGAACATTACCTGTGAAATATCGTTTTTTTTTTCATTACTTATACGAAAAAAGTTCTTATTGTTTCAAAATCCATTATTTTTGGTTTTTCAAACTTTTTATGTTCCGATATTGAAAAAACGATATTCTACAGCTCAAAGTTCTCATTTTTACCTATGTAGTGAAAATTCTATTTCTTAGTTATGGCTGTAGCCTTCTCGGTTCTTTCCCCAGCAAAACTGTTTTTTCTATCTTTTATATTTGTAAGACGGTGGTCGAAGACCGGGCTGGAAGTGGTTAAAGCTATTTAAAAAAGTGACTAAGTGACTGAATTTATTCATAAAGTGACGAAAAGTGACCTGCATAAATTTGTTTCATAACAACTTAACAGTTATTAAACATTTTTGTCTTTGAATCTCTACATACCTATGATTTAATTGATTCTAACTTACTTAATTTTGTAGAAATTACAAAAAAATAATGATTATAATAAACACAAAATTTAATAGCAAATAATTAAATCATATTAACTATTTCAATTAATAATGTTTATAATATAAAATAATATTCAAGATCATTGTTTAGGAACTTCCTTTATTTTAACCATAAGTACAAAACACGCCAATGGTTTGTTATAATTGGAATTCATCCTTTGGTGGGTTTTCAAATATAGTAAACTAATAAATATATACGAAATTACTATAGATACCTACTTATAATTTGAAGTTTGATTAGGAACATTACATAAAAACAAAGTTTTTGGTATAATAATATTTTATTGTTAAGGCTATAGAGACTTAACATTTTTAACAAACATTCATAATAGCATTTACTATAGACATGACTTAATTTTCAATATATTTTGGATATTTTGTTATTTGTAATATAGGTGTTTGAAATTCATAACTAATTTTTTATCGATTTAAGAAGTTCTACTTTTTTTCACAAGTAAAAAAGCTTGAAAAAAATGTAATATAAATAATATATTAATACTCCTCATAACTTGTTTGTACCTCGATAAAATATAAAAATAGATCGTTACAAATTGTGCAAACATTTGTAAATATATGCATTTCAAATTGCAACGAATTTATATCGATTTTCGATATGCATGTAAATCCTAGCCCTAATTATGACTATGCACAAATCGTATATGATATAAATAATATATAATATGTACTATGTAGTGTCGCTTAAATGTCACGCATGCGTGTAAATGTATAATGGCCAATGGGTAGGTATATTTATTGTTATATAAAAAGTACTCAACCTCTTAGGTAGGTAGGTAACTATTATGTAACATTATATATAGTTTTTATCAAAGTAGGTACCTACCTACAGGGTTATACTAACTATAAATAAATATGTATAGACCTAAAGTGATAAATTGAATTTGGAACTATTGGAGGAGTCTATATTATGATTTAACTAAATGGAACTTCCTATTTAGAATTTACAATAATAAAGTAATTTGCTAATCAATTGAATATGATGATTTATATTACCAATATATCTACTTATTTCATCTACTTTCATCTATACATTATCCATGAGATACGACATCGATTTATTTAATGAGAATATAAACTCATATAAATGGTAAAGCTAGGTAGTCCTAAACCTTATGAAATTTTTTAGTTACCGTCGTAAACTTCATACTAACAAAATAAATGATAGAAATAATTTTTTAACAATTATTGTTAAATTTATTTACCTGCAGCTGTATATAAAGTGGGCAGCCAATCAGTAATATGAAATAATTTGTTAGAAACAATGTTTTTTTCTTTCAACCATTTACTCCATATCGCAGCAACCCCACGACTCCACATTCAAGTACTGATGCTTTTTTCTAAATTTAATAAGATTATAATAAAATATCAAACCTTTTTATAGTCAATTTATTGACAAAATATTATTTTGTAATTTTGTGTAGCTTCTAAAACGAAGAAAAAATTACATATATTTTTTCTTTATGATCTATATCAAATGGTGAAATATTATACCATATTATAAATATTATAATTACCAATTGGTACAGTAATTTGTAATTTTGTACCTCTACCTATTTACAATCACCAGTTATTTTTTTTGATCTGATTACAATTTCAGAGACGCTGCTTTACAAAACAAAAAACACTCAAACCACGACACATGCAGTTAATAATATTTTAATAAACGTAGCAAAAATAAATCATACCCCTCTCAAAGGCCAATTTGATCCAAAGTTCTCATGACCCCATAACGGATCATCCGTCGGCGCACCGTTGTCTGACATAAACACCACAATAGAATTTTCTAGCATTTCGTTTTCGTGTAGTGATTCGATTATTTTTCCAACAGAGTCGTCCAAAGAAGTCACCATGCCTGAAATTCATGCACTATAAATGTCATTATAATAATATTGTGCGTATTTGCATCGAGAAAATATACAAAATTATTTCATCGACAACAAGATGGAGCCGGCGAATTATGCATAATTGATTGGTAGAAAGGAGATGCATGATCAAATATTGCAGATTCCAAATAACAAATTTATCAAAAAAATTTTTTCATGTTTTTGCTACCAAGATGCTGTCAGGTCATTGGGTCTGGTATCCTAAAATAGGACGGCAATCATTCTCAAAATAGTGCAGCAAGCCATACAAACGAAGAAAAACATTGTAAAATTGGGTAGAAAAATAATCTGTAGTTACTTACCTGACTGTATAAATAAGTAAATAAAGTTGAACAAGAAAGAAAATTGGAAATGAAAAATTCCGTTTTTTAACATAACATTATTATTCTCACCTGCATAAAGTCTTCTGTTTTCGTTTTCAATATAACCGAATGCCTCGTCGTTGTAGGTTTTATTCAAAACTTCCAAGTGATTTGGTCCTCTATTTCCCGAATGAACGGCCAAATGACTTACCATTAAAAACATTTTAGTGTTTTGTCGTTTACTTGATTCTATAATTTTAAGAGCTTCTTCTGTAAAAACATCAGTTGCATACCGTTCGCGGTCCATCTCATTTCCCGCCCTTTCGAACCCACGCCTGGCATCGATACCACTCATTGTTTGCTAAAATTGTATTATCAATAACAAACTTGTAATATAATCGAACGTAAACAAATTGAATAGGTACTTCCAAATAAACTTATAAACCGTAGAAAAATGTTGCTTACCGTAGCGTGTGTGCTGTTTCTATAACTAATAAACCCGTTCCAGTAACCGAAATGACTATCGAATCCCCTTTGTGTGGGAGTGAAACGTTTTTGGTAATATCCCAAGTGCCATTTTCCAACCAAGTGTGTTGAATAGCCCAACTCTTTCAGAAACTTTAAATTAATTTTAAAAACATTTCAAGTAACGATGACAGTACTAAAACAAATGATTTAAGGCCCCTGCAAACCCTATTAATTTTTCATCAAAACGACCTTAGCGACTGACAACGATTAAAATATTTCTAGTGGTTCGATTTAAAAAATGTAAAGATGTTTTAATTGGTCAACAAGTCTACTTTGCATAGGTCGGAGCATATTTTTTATATTTTTGAATATATTCAATAATAAAAATTTATAAATTTATAAAATTTAAAATATTTATTCTCGTCAAGAATTTGGTAAAATTGAAAAAGTGCTCTGACCGATGCAAAGTAAACTTGTTTACAAACACAAACATCTTTCCATTTTTTAAATTGAACGGCTAGAAGTACCTTAATTTTTGTCAGTGCGACGACTATTTCACGTCCATAAATTGGTTTTGAATATTTTGATCTAAACATTAAATGACATGTGCATGTGCGTGCGTGCGACCTTAAACCAGTAAGAAATAACAATGTATTGTAAACTTATGCTGGTCGCGGGTGATGGTAGGGCAGTAAACACGCGCTAATGATCATTTACTACACACACAAAGACGATCAGTAATCGCAGGAACAAAATAATTTCCTAAGTGCTGAAGGGGGCGCTTTTGGCAGAAGCATGTGTGTACCTTGCAGGCCTAAGAACGTATAAATTATTGATTTGTTGTGTATAAAAACCCAACAATAATAGTTATAGTTAAGTACTTAATATCATCTTAATCGTCATCCAATATATTTGGATATGGTCTTTAGGGAGTTCATAAATTGCTCTAAAACTTTTTCATATAGGTAACCATATTGCGCTGGGATAATTTTCAGGGGTCAATAGACCAATTACGCTAGAGAACATCCTAATAATATTAATTTATTCAATAGCACATAACATTATTTTATGTTATAATCAATGGTGGGCAAGTTAATGAAAATAATTAACTGTGGAAAGTTAAGTTAATTCAATTAAATTGCCTTCAGTTAAGTTAAAAGTTAACAAAAAATAAAATTTAAACTAGTTAAGTTAAAAGTTAAGGATAAATAAAATTAACTTAACTCAGTTAAAAAAAAAGTTAATTTTTTTTTTAAGTCATAATATTAACAGGTATAGGCTGTTTTTAAATATTTGTCATTTAGTACCATTATAATAGTCTATTATTAAAATAAAATCAATGAATAATGATATAGTATTTACCTACCAAAAATTTGTTTCAATTTATTTCGATAATGTTATTTTCTAATCTCATACGTTTATTTGTATTTATAACGAATACGGCAATATAAATTATAATTTATAAATATCTCGGACGACTTTTTGTTTGTCTATTGGATTGTCGTATTTACCAGTAACCAGTATATATTATTGATATAATGATATCCATTTAAAGACTATGATATTTAGTTTTAAACCTGTTTTTAGGAATTGAGAGGTAGATAAAACAAAAATCGGATTATTCAATACCATTAATAATATTAAATCATTAAATAATAGAATTCGTGAAAATAGCCAGTCGATACAAGGATAGTATACTAATTATTACTCTTTAGTCTTTACTATAGTACCTATAGATTTATATAATTTGATTATATGAATTGATGATATTATTTATTAGAAAAATAAATTACGAAAATGGCAAAATAGAAAGAATAAGTTTTGTCTCTTGGTTCCACATGATAAAAATTTAATTTAATTAACTTAACTGTACAATAATGATAATTAACTTTAAAAAGTTAAGTTTAAACAATACAAAATTTAACTGAATAAGTTAATAAGTTAAAAAAAAAAAAACTAACTAGTTAAGTTAAAAAGTTAAAAAAAAATTAACTTTTTAACTTAACTTTAACTTTTTAACAAGTTAATGCCACCATTGGTTATAATACATTTATAATTTAACTAGCTGCAGAATATCCCAGCTTCACCAGTGAACAGTTTTTTTTTTGTGGCAATACCTATATAGTTTAATATTCGATAAATAGATATATCTTGGCTTGAGTGTATCTCAGTTCACGCACAAATCAGCAGAGCCGTCTTTACGATTAGGCAATTTCTAAATTTCTAGGACCCATAATTTATTGTAGAATAAAACCAATAAGACTTCCTGTCAATAATACAATGAAAAGCAAAAGCGTGGATAGCGTTTAAGATTTAGAGAGATATGGCCAAAAATGTACAATTATGATTTCTCTGTAGAATTAAATACAACAGGTAGTTACGCAAAGTTTTTTATGGTAAGTCAGTGGTAGGGCGCTGCATCCGATAGCATTACAAAAATATCGATTGATAAATGTATTTATTTTGAATTAATTGATTTTTAGACCTGACAGTGTATCAAATATTTTTTTTGTCAAACTGTAAATTTCTAAAAAAAAAAATTAGCTTTCGTTAAATCCATAAAATATGCATATAAATGTTCTTAAATCCAAAATATGTGAATTCGTACAAAAAATAACGAATTATTTAATAATATGCAAAATAATGCAACAAAAAAATTTTTATTTAAAATATACATACTATTTATCGAATTTGTAATGAATCAGAATTTCAACATGCACTTTCTAAATAAATATGCAAATGCCTAAAGTTCCAACCCTTTGCTATTAATATCCACGTGCGTACGGCCACGGCGTATGGTTAGTCGTAGATAGCGATAATATTACAATTATTAGTTCACAGAAGTTAGGGTTTCTATTCAGAATAAAAGTTTTTGATTGTTTATTTGTTATGTTTTAGGCCCCTGATTATTCTCTCAAAAGTCCCAGGTGATAACGCATGTGCTAAACTTTAAAGGGGTGGAAATTGCTTTGAAATCGAATATCGAATTTAAATTCCGAATATCTCCTAAAATATCAACTGTACTACTAAAATGCCTATATTCTAAATTAAAGATGATTAAATTATCTATAAGAAAGTATCCAGTTAAGCCTATAATGAATGGTTTCCAAAAAAAATATCATTATAAAAATTTAAGAGAATTTTTATTTTTCGTGAGATTTACGAAAAACGTCGTTTTACTATCTAAGGTTTACGCCCGTATGCGTGGCAATTTCACAATTTTCAACAAAAATTTCACATAACTTAAAACATGTTGGACTATCAATGTTCAATCAAAATGTTGTTACTACCTATTATGGAAAGTTATAAATAAATTACAATACAGTAGATACCTACATTCGTACGTATAAAAGTATCCATGGGATAATTTTGTTATCCTGTGTGTTATATAATAGTGTGTAGAACGTACCAACTACGTGGATAAATAGTTAACGATCGTACCGATTTTAGACAATAGGTACAATATAACAAAATGTATGTATTATCTAATAGTAAAAACTTGTTATCGTCTATGAATCAAATTCATTCTTTAGTTCGTTGATAATAATGAAATTATGATGTTTCGTAAAAATCTCGATATAAATTATAATCATAGAACAAATCATAAATCAATTTTATTAACAATAATTTGTGTGTTTTTCAAAAAATCGATATGTTTAATTAAAAATATATATTATATAATTAGGACCTAAAATATAATCAGCTCAATTGCTATACTGACCTAATATATAAGCAGCTCAATATTGGTATATTTACTGACCCTAAAATACAAATTTAGTTTTAGGCGCAACTGGTCCAAGACCCAATGCCTGGAATATACAGAATGTAACAGAAATACCTAACAAATGAAATAACTTTTGTTCTAATCAATATTTAAAATTTATTTTTAAATAATTTATAAACTCTTACGTTATATGTAGAATGTATAGTATACCATTTTTATTTTTAATATCAAAAATAAAAAATCTAATTAAATTCTTTTTTGGAAAATTTAATATAGCCAATTCGTAAATTTAATTTTTTAGACAGTTTGATTGTAACAACGTTTAATAACTAATTGATTGTAAATCAATAAGTATTTTATTTTTACAATTTATTGAAAAATTAATATAATTTTGGAGTAAATTAATTTGAAACGTAATAATGTTTTACAAACTATTCTTTTTGGGAATTTCCTGATAAGTATATTCCTGAAATTATTTAGATATTGTCATACGCTTAATAAATATCAATTTTGCTAGGTCTTTCCTTTACACCCTGTATGTACCTAATTATTCAACATGGCTTTGACATAATTTAATTACGTTTACCTATTATTACTTATTAGAGACCAAGTTAACCTACCATAGCGAATCGGGTATTTTCCGGTAAGCAAAGCAGCCCTCGATGGAGTACAAGTTGGCTGGACATAATGACGATTCAATATCGCACCGTTATAAGCAAGTGCATCGATATTCGGCGTGGGTATCTGTATAGATCCGTGAAATCCGACATCATTCCAACCCTGTTTAAATACATTAAGTCAGCAAATCCCAAATTGTGCACTACAAACTGGTCTCTAATTGCACTGCGAGCAGTTCCCAGGGACACCATGGTACACGGTTTAAAAGAAATTATTTACAATTTATTGAAATTATTTTTGGTTTTTTAAATTTAAATTGAATCTTATAAAAATGTAATTCAGGATTTTCGGCTTACACCGCAGTTAAAACCAAATACCCCAACCGCCTTAACACAGAACATGGCCTCCAACCTATAAAACTAGACATTTGTAACAAAAAAAAAAAAACATATCTAGGTATATTTGTAAAAGGCGCAGTAAACTAGAGTGATGCGTGAATGTGTAAAAGCGAACTTCATTAGGTCATTACTTCGAAACTAAGTCCGAAGCCAAATTCTGACTTCACCATCATATTCAGTACAATTAACAACACGGGACTAAAAAAAAAAAAAAAAGGGGACCGGTAAAGTAACAAATACCCAGTTTAACAAATTATAAATTTAACTTGACAGGTACCCATAAGTTAAAAATTAATAGGGAAAACAATTTTAACTCAATTTAAATAAAGTTAATCTACATTTTTTAATAAGTATGTTGATTACATAAACAGTGACTGCGTTATTTCTAATTTCCAAAATGGTAATAAACAATTTTATTGAACTTTCTCGTAATAATTACAGTATTTGTGCCTATCTAATCTATTTAAATAATATATATTTTATTTACAAAATTATTTTATCAAGAAAAATAACATAAATGTTTGTATTATCATAGTATTGAATTATTTTTATTTTTATTCTAATATTAATATTTACGTACATATAATACCATACAAATTACAAACAAAGTTTAAAAAAAAAAATGTTTAACTTGATGGATTATTTTCAAATAAACTGAACTTTACATAAAGTTATTATAACTTTCAATTAAACTAGTTAAGTTCATAAGTTGATTAGAAAATTAACTAACTAGTTAAGTTAATGCCTACCTTTGCCTACTACCTATTGCCTACTCATGAGCAGCTGAGCGGTCACCTACTTTCCCCTTTTTTAAATGCATTTATTGCCAACTAGGTACACCTTTTTTAATTGTACATGACAAATATTTTGTCAACACGTAGTTTAGATTTAACTTTGGTATTATATTTCACATTACACGTACCTCCATAATATAGCAGTTTAATCTGTCTATAACATAAACATACTATTATAATACTAACCAAATCATCGGCAATGATGACAACAATATGAGGTTGTTTTTTGAATTCTCGTAGCAAAACGAAATCGGTTAGCTGCAAGTTTAGGATTAATATCAATATACCAGTTATACGGCTATTGGACAAGTCCATGATGATCTGTGATCCGATGAGTGATATCTATATTTTAATGATCTGTAAGCGAGTAGCTATATTATACAGTTTGGAGACTGATCGAGGGAAAATAAAATAGACCGATTTCGTTGATCTGACTTAAATTTTAATAATTACATAATAACGCACTGTTAGATAAGACGATTAGTTAACGACCGCGAATTGTCGAGTTAAAACTGTAAGTACGCACATGTGTCAGGTCGGATGAAACGCGATTTGAACTAATCGGACCCACATAATTATTGTTTTATTGAAAATATTTATTTTATTATATTATTAAACAATTTAATACTACAATGTTACAATATTAGGTATATCATAATATTATCATTATTACCTTATTTCAGCAAATTCCGATTAGTCAAAAGCACGGACGTATAGTGCTATATATAGGTTATAGTCCATGGTCAAAAGTCAATATGGTAATAATAGATAAGTGACGGCTATAGCCTATAATCACCTAGTAGTACATACTACGTTTCAGTTATAAATGTTTAATCAAAAATCATTATAAAAATATTATAAACTATATAATATATACAGAGTACCTAATTCTTTTATCATTGAACACTTATTATCTCAAGAAGAGTAAAATATTATTTTACATAGTTTCAAGACGTTTAGAAAACAACGTTTTTATAAAAATTATATTTTAAAATATTTTTGATCCTTTTAATTTTTTAAGTTTTTTACTTTTTTGAATGATAACATAATAGAGTGTTAATTTAATATTCCAAAGCAGAATATTTGTCGAAGTATTTCGAAACATAAAAATCGAATTTAGGGCGAGACGGGCGAGTAGTTTATGAGTTATAAGTATTTAAAGTTTAGTTGAGCGAAATAGTGGCTAAACATTGCGCACAGTAACCCCGCACCACTCCACTCCTCTCATAAAACTTTAAATACTCATAACTTATAAACCACTCACCTTAAATTTTTTTTTATGTTTCGAAATAGGTACTTCAACAAATATTCTGCTGTGGAATATGAAATTAAAACTCTGTTATCATTCAAAAAAGTAAAAATTAAAAACTAAAAGGATCAAAAATATTTTAAAATATAATTTTTAATAAAAACGTTGTTTTCTAAACGTCTTGAAACTATGTAAAATAATATTTTCAAAAACATTTACACTTCTTAAAATAATAAGTGTTCAAGGATAAAAGAATCACACTGTATATTATATATAGGTACATAATATGTTAGAATATACTATATTATATATATAGGTAGGTACATAATATGTATAATATACTATATTACATTATATAGGTACATAATATGTATAATATACTATATTATATTTATACAACGCCATATGGAGGCATGCTAATTTTTTGCTAACATTGGAGAACAGAATTTTGTTTATCGACATTATTTACGAAATTCGCAATTTTTCTTAGTTTTTTATTTTTTATTAAATTCAATTTTTAGTATATAGTTATCCTTATCATAATAAAAAAAAATTCCACCACTTAAGTAGGTATATGGGTAGATATTTGAAAGAAAATCATATATTAAACTACATTTGATTATAATATCGTAGTGGTTTTTGGGAATTTAAATCAAAATCCTAATAAGTTATTATTTCAAAATCATAAATACACAACTTGAAATGTACACTATAATAATTCCGATAGGTAGTTTGATTATTTATATACGGAATATAAATCCGATCGGTTTAACTGATTAACGCCAAAAGTTCACTACATGTTCTTCGTTTACCATTGCTGGTATATACCTACCTATTATAGGTAATAGTAATATTTTGTAACATTTTAATAACTTTTATTCTCTAAGGATTAAAGAAAACATAAAGGTACAATACTTTAGTTGATTTTTTGATTAACATGGATTCCATTTAATGTATTATTATAATGGGTAGGACCGCTATACTGCTATAGGTAATTAATGAATATGATACATTGATAGGTACGAAATCTTGGGTGAAGCCTTGTTTTATGTTTTACGTAGAGGTATGTAGGTACAATGTACATATATAGTTTATGTCTGATATAATGTCAACAAAATCATATTTTTTAAGAATGACAATTAATTAACGAAAGGGTATAAATGTTATTTAAAGTTTTATTAATTTAGGTATATTTTTGGTAACGCATATAATTAAAATAAATAAATATAATTTAATGTACCTACCTTACCTATTTATAATTTTCGAGCAAACAAAATAATGTTGATACTAAGAATATTATCATACAAACATGCCTAAGAATAAAATACAATAATACCTACGTTATTGAACATAAATACATAATACGTATTGTCTTATTATGGTATTTGCTTATAAAGTTAGGTATACTAGTTATACTTTTATACATTATACGTCATACGTTTGATGACAATTTAGTTTATTAAAAAAAGACAAAATAATTTAAAAAAATTAAAATATGTTTGATAAAAAGACACAGCAATTTACCGAATATGTGCGTCATGTTATATTTTGTTAAAATATATATGAAATGTATTGATTGATATTATAGATAGACGAAAAATGTCACATAAAATAATAATATAGGTAAGTAACTAGGTATAAACTTTATGTAGATTATATAGATAATAATTTTGATATTTGATTATGACAATATTACATTATTACGTCATTATCTTTTAAGTTTAAGAAAACTACTTGGAAAAAAAATATAAAAATTATCTTTTCAAAGTATCAACTCAAATAAATTTGGCCAGTAATTCAGACCCTTGTGCAGTATGCCGGTATGCAATGATTTATCATTAAATTCTTATTCATCAATTCCATCCGTACTGGATTACTAAGGGTAGTGTCTACTGTCTAGCATAATCAGCGCCCAGTGTCAAGAACCATTTTTAGCACCCCCACCCCCATACCTATAAGGAGACTACATACGATTAGGGGGGAGAGAATTCGATAGATTTACCTTTTTTTGCGCACATTAAACAATTTTGCTGATATGTACAAAAAATGTTGTGGAAGATATCATGTAGACAGGTAGCCTTTTTGATTATAATTGTGTATTATATTGACAAAGGCAGTAGCCAGTACCTACCTAGTAATCTGTAAACATTGTACAACTCTTAAAATTAATAATTACACCTATTTTATATACCTAGCTTAAAATAATTAAAGTTATTATACATAATTAAGATTTTGTCTCTGCAATGCAATTCTTTTATTCGAGTATTTTTAAAGTAAGTATTTGCAATATAAACGATTAGGTACCTAATATGGTTAGTGTTAAATAAATTACAAATAGTAGATTATAGCACATAGTATTAATTCTTAGTTTCTTATTCCTAAATAGCTTAAAAACAATCAAAATATTTTTCATAATTTTATCATGTACAGAAAAAACTGTAAACTAAACATTTGGTGACAATGTCAAGTATATTCAATTGTTCGTTTTTGAGTTACATCAAAAAAACAATATTTATTTTGGTTAAACTGGTTTTGCATGAACATTAATTTTTGTTTTCTTGAAGCTTTTTGAGAACTACTGTAAATTTTCAATTTTTTTCCATCTAAATTCACTTTTTCACCAGATAATTTAGTGAGGTTGAAAAAAACATTATTTTGATACTTATCGTGTAGTGTACACACAAAAAAAAAAACCCACATTAGTGTAAAATCAATTTTCTTCGGTTCTGAGAAACTAAAATGTAAATGCAAATTTAATTTTTTAGATAAAATAGCCATTATTTTATTTTTGGAATGACTCACTTATGACGTATTTTTACTGCTTAATAGTTTTAAATTTTAATTCGTGTTCTTGATATGATTTCTAACTTATAATTTTGTATATGCCTATATAAGATCATTGAAAAAAAAGAGAAAATACTTAAAGTACATAATATATAAATTTATTATTCCGTCACATTTTAGTATTACATTACTATAATAGTGCCCAAAAGTTTCAAATTTAGGGACCATATTTAAAATGGTTTTGATCTCTATAATTACCTAAAATAATATAGTTGATTATGAATAATAAAATATACATTTTTCTGAAAAAATATGCTCGCGATGCAATGAAACATTGTAGAAACATTTTGGAAACATTGTAAAAAATATTGAACGCCAACTATCAGAAGATGTGTATTAGGAGCGTATGCTGTGATCGTGACGATTGAACGATGACCATCGAACAAGCAGCTACTGCCACAGCCGAGCGAGCCGTCGAAGGAAAAGCAACTATCGCCGTCCTGCGACCCTGGTACATAGCGCGTCCCATACGTCCGATGTACTAACGCGGAAAAATATGTTTGCTACCTACGTTTTGTATTAATTTTAAGGGGCCTGGTCGCGACCTGTTTTTTTCCTCAAAAACATGCCTTACAGGAAAAACTCTCACGCCTTGTAGATTGGTCCGATTTCCGTAATTTTTTTTTGTTAAATAGAGGAAGACGTATTGCAGGGCGCATTGGACTTGGATTTTCAAAATTATTTTTTGAAATCTTATATTACAAGTTTGAATTTAATCCATTTTACAACTGTTTAGTTTTTGTATTATTATTTATTTTTAGCAACGTAATCAAAAATCAAAGTCCAATGCGCCTTGTAAAAAATATTCTTCTATCTAACAAAAAAAAAATTACAGAAATCGGACCAATCTACGAGGTGTGAGAGTTTTCCTGTAAACTGTGTTTTGACCGATATAATACACCCGATCAACCCCCCCCCAATAGGTATTGGGTAGTAGATAGTGGAAAAGTCTTATAATTGAGGTGGCAACTAAAATATAAAATTTAATTTTCAAATTTTATAGAATTGCGGAACATTTGAAAATCGCGACCAGGCCCCTTAATACGATTTTGTTATCTTATTTATTTATATAATCATGTTTGTTGTATGTTTTGTGTTAATTTGGGTTTATGAATATTTTTTTTTTTATGAGCTTGAGCCTGCAACTTGGGCCATTAGCTATTTTTGGTTTTTTGTTGGTAGGTTTTTATTGGTTGGGGGGACACGTGTGTGTTTTGGCAGA